TATTCATAATGATTAACATTCGATACTACCAGTAGATGTAGAATAAGAACTGTACTCACCCTTCGTTGCATAAAGGATGAAGAATTGATAGTTAAATTTTCCCACCGTGAAAGTTCGCGTTGCATGTTTAATTAAGGTAATATTATCATATTTCGTTTAAGGTCGTTGAGTTTACCAACAATCATATGAGTAGGCCCTACGCTTTCATTAAATTTCCCATAGCCTTGCTTCTCCCAGAAGATAATTTTATCCAGAATGGGGTGCAGTTTCAACCTCGCCTGAGCTGGTCACATCAGCACCCTAAGCGGGACTCGAACCATGACAGATCAGCGTATAATCTCGACACGTTAACCACTACGCCATACCGCCAAGTATGCTATTGTGTCACAGGGCAGATGTGAATTTCAAGGAAAGCCAAGCATTTTCCTATATCAACTCTGGTGGTATTGCCGATGAAGCACAGTTGTGTTTGCCATAGCAATCGACCACATTACTTCGGCATTAGCCTTTCTACCACTGATAGAGACTAAGTTCAAGCAAATCGATGGTGAAAATTCGGTGACAATAATTTCAAGTATTTGATGAAACCCTACGTATAAACGAAAAATAATCTCAGTTGTGTGGACATTTCACTTGTTGCACAAAATAAGTTAGATGAGTTTCGCAAATAAGCCGTTCTGGAGATCAAGTGAAGATGGTCTTGCCCTTATGACTGTTGATTTGAGCATTGAAGTCCTCAACGCAGCGTCCTGCGCCTCCTAACAGTTCGTATGCCTAGACTTCACAGAGGTCTTCAATAGAAGAAACTATTCTTTTACAAACTTCAAGCTTCATGCAAAGAATGCTGGTTAGCTGCGATCCTACCTACTCCTTATGATCTTATTTTGATGATTGGTTACCTCATGCTTCAACTTACCTGCTTACAGAAGAATAAAATGAATGCGGAGGTGGTCAAACATAAGCATTCTTAGCTAAACTATTTTTATTGTAATCCAGAAATGATGGCGCGCTTTTTAGTGTGTGCCTGCAAGTACTTTGTCTGTATGCGATGCTCACGGGCCAAGAGAGTTGTTAGAACTAGTCTTTCTCTATACATTAGCTGATCTGTCTTGGGGAGAATTCATCTGATTGCCTCGACTAATTGAGTGTATGATTTAAGTACTCTAGTACTCTAGGCGAAACTAATCATTGTCATTGAATCCGTAACAACTTTCGTATAACTAAAGTCTAAGTGTTGGATGAAGTGAACCGGTTGAGTACCTTGCCTTACAGAGATTCGTACTGGAAGCAAAAGCCCCCCTGCCCATCCATAATCATATAGTACAGAATCGGCCTACATCTTCCTCTCCAGATTAGATATTCTGTGGGTTATTTGATGATATTGTATTCAGCACAGTCACCGCATTCAGACGAATTTAACTGCTATGAGCGGTCTAACTGACACGTAAAATTCTGGATTCAAATACCAATAAGCTGGTCAAAAATCTTTCCAGAGCCTCGTTAGTGCAGTTGGATGGCCTTCTTGCCTCTTGAAAAACTCCATCCAGGACAAGCCGGTCACTCCATTTTTTGGTACTTTTGTAGTAATTAGCTTCTGATGAGACTACTTTCATGACAGAAGAAGCAACTTCAAGAGCTTGTGAATTTAATTGCGAACCTGGCGGTGTCCCCAAACATCCGATACAAATATACACTTGATCATGTTGTCTAATGGAGAGACGATAATGCCGGATACCTACTTTAGTAAGTTGTGGAGGCCTTTCTTTCCAGTGAAAGTGCCTACAGAAGATAGGCAATGGTTGCTCTTACCGGAAGACGACAACCGATTCCTGTTGAACTGCAGCCATTTGGCTTTTCTATGACGTTCATGTTTACGCAGTCCATGGAAAATCCTTCCCCGTTTCGAATAAAACTGGGCTGAGCTTTCGTCCATCATACGACGGAGTTGCCACAGCCTCAAATATTAAAATATCTTTATTAAATGTGATAAAAGGGATTGGAAGGCATTTTAGGGATTCTTTAACATATCAAGAGGGTCTGGCCATTACGGCACTAATATAGATTTACTTTTGAGCAAATCCATGGTCCCACGGTGGGAATTATCATAAATACTATAGCAGAGAGCTTCGGACAAGGTGAGCCCAACCAGGTCGCCTTAAACATACGACTTATTTGCGAAAACGAGGTCAAGTTACTTATTCAATTTTAGCAGATAAGTAAATCAATACACAGGAAGAATATTTATAACTCTATAGATCCACAGTGGAAGAACCATGACAAAATCATAAGACAGCTTTCAAGGAAATATTTTCCTATCTATAAGAAAGGGTGAATTCGGGATCGAAAGGGAAAAAAATGTTTAGCAATATTCCTCATTACCTTGAGCACTCAAAATATGATTGATCATGCAATCTAGAAAAGCTGAGAATATATTTTATTTAAACGATACTACTTTTTATGAATGACTAGTAGCAAATGCAGTTAAACATTTAAATTTAAGCTCTAAGGCAGTTGTTCCCAAACGTTTCTTAGTTGTGGTGCCCTTTTTCAATTAAAAATTTTTCATGGCACCTTTCATTATTTTTTTACTTTATTGACATTAAATTAATATTTAATAATTAATGTGATAAATGAGCCTGCAAATCACTGCACATTTTATCAAATTGAAGCTTTTACAATATTTCGCGGCACCCCGGGCAGCCGCGGCGCACAGTTTCGAAATCACTGCTCTAAGGCATATGAATGTACGATTGTAATTTCACATTTTTAATATAAATTGTTCTCCTAAATCAATGTTATGGTAACTGCATATAGTGGATCATAAGGAGGTTAAATCAAAGCGTTATTGTATGCAAAGTTGAGGTAAAGGGATTCGTAACTTAGCAGTACTAGAAACCGAGCAAAGGTTTTCTTGCAGTAGGGACCATTGAAATGAGCGGAGGTGCCCGGATCAGATCTTCTCAGGATGAAAAATCGTTATTTAGCCAAACTAACCATTTGCAAAACCAATAATATTAGGTTGGCTAAAGTTCGACCCTGAAGAAGATGAGAAAGGTAAACTATTGGGTGAGTGGAGGAGGCTTTGTAACCTGAAGTCTGGTTGGAGGTATATAGTTTCTATTTCGGGATTATCCCAAAGGTCGTTTAAGAAATGAAAAATATATTCTTCCGCATCAGCAACAACTTCATTCACATGCAAGCTTGCAGGGTGAAGCATGAAGTAGCCATCTAATGGCCATCATTATAGTTTACATAATAGCTGGCATAATTAGATTATAGTATGCAGGTATAATTGTACACGACCAGCAATCTAGGCTTCGTACTCGGTGAATTTGTATGCAAAGAAAAGTTGGGTTAGGAGAACATTCTTGGTTTACAAATGATGATATTGCTTTTAGATCGAGTGAAAGTGCACGATGAAGCAATTCCAAGTTCACTCTCTCACATAACCACACCCGCACATTTTAAAAATCTCATCAATTTAACCAGAATTTTTCTGACGAAATTGGAGTGATGATTACAAAAAGAGGATCATCAAGCCTTGAGAAGCAAAGATTGTTGTTAAGCTCAATCCCAATTACTTCGAGAAATTACTGTAGGTCTCGCAATCATACGTATACATGAGTGCAAATAAACACAAAAAAATTCATATAAATGTACCTCTAGATTGAAATATGACTTAAACTAGCCAAATCATTCAATGACTCTTAAAAATGGATAGATTTAGGTAACTTATACAGCATGTAGGGATAAGCCGGTGAAAGCCGAAATATATAAAGTCAATCAGAATGTCCCAGTAAAGCCAATCGACAGTTGGCCAAGAGGAATCCGTCGTCGTCTTCTGGCGGGATCGACATGCGAATCTCTTGACTCGAAATGGAAGTGAGCTTAACAACGGAGAATAAGTGTTAACGAACGGTCCCTCATTTTTGTAATATGGGTCACCGAAGGATAGAAAAAAGTTCAGAACAGATTGCTCGCGACAGCAGTGTGGCTTACTGAGAACCGAGATCAGGTCAACGACCATATCTCAAAACAATCTTTCTTCGACCTAATGTTGAACCAATTTACATATCTTTTGTGTCCATTTTTTCACTTAAAACGAAAGTTTCACTCCTTACAATCCGATTTATTTTAACATCTTAAGTGTATGTGCTTTACTGTTTAACTTACCTGAAGATGCCATTTTGTACCCATATCAGTCCGCCAGGCGTACACGATGTGGTGTTGATCGTTGGTCAGATCAATATCATAATTGGTCGTAACCTCAAAGCGTTTGAAACCGACGTCGAATTCGATTGTGATGCCACCATTGTTGTTGATCTTGAGGATTATGTAGTTTTCATCGCCTTCCCCACGCATTTGCATAAGAATGCCCTTTTTAGACTTCGTTTTGAAGCCTATCTGTATATATTCCTCAAGGGTCCCCAACCTGTCGGTTAATCTATTCAGATTGATTTTGATCATTGGACCATTTTTGAAGGCTGCACCAACTTCTGAAACAAGATAGCGTAATGCGTTCATTTAACTACATCAACACTACTGGGCAAAAATCAAATACAAGTAAAGAATTTAACTAACCACGTCCACAAATATATCCACGATGGGTAGTGAGACCACATTCACAGCGATAATGAGAATAATATTCAACGCATTCACCTCGATTTAAACAGGGATTTTTGGTGCATTTTGGCACGCAGCCGGGACTCAAACCATATTGAAATTTCCCAGACTCTACTAATCCTCGAATGTCTTGGAATACTCCATTTATAAGCAAGTTTGATATGCATCCGACGAAACCATCAGTAAATGCCTATTAAATGTAAAATATTAAATATAGGTTTAACTGTGGAATAGTAATGAGTGAGATAAAGAGGGATATAGCATGTGAGAGAAGAAAGCTAAATACGTAAGATAGAAATGACCGACTGCACAGGCATTATTCATATTTATTACCCCACAGATAAAGGCTTTAAAGGTATGCGTTAAAAGATGAATTTGGACCTAATTTGGAATTCGAATTTCCTTTTCCCTCCCTGAAAGTGATACTGATATGTTTTAAGGAGACGCATAAAGAAAATGTGTAACTTTGGCAAGGCTCTGCCCTCGAAACAATATACAGAACACATAAGGGACTTAG